CAAACAAACAAACAAACAAACAAAAAACAACAACATCAGTTCAATGAAAGATTTTAGAAATCATATAGAGGACATAATTTCAATAATAGACAGTCGTTTCATATAGATGTCATATGATGATTGAAATAGACGCATAAATTAATGAGATATTCAAGTTATGACAATGTCGTCAACCGTGTATTCTATTTTCGTCATTGTCATATCTTGGTAACCGTGTGCTGTACGTCATCCTTGAATGAAAATTGTTACTTAAATGACGTACATTTATAACTTAGTTATTAATTAATCCACGCTGTATGTCTGTCCGCTGTTTTGGAGCTAGCAGCACCAAACACGACATGCTTACTCGGTGATACCAAACTTATTGACATAGGACGATAGGGTTAATAAACATCTTCAGTAGTACTAAACTTGACCAATGAAAAAAATAATACAAACTGAGAACTATGTACGACCACCATTTACATCACAACAAAAAATGGGATCGTCTTCCGAATCCAGAGGACCCAAATTTCAACAGAGGCACACTGAGAATCGTACATTTTATACACGTTGATACAAAAAACCAAAGAAGACCTCAGTATAGAAGCTGAAAGGTCGTTTTATTCTTTCTAGAAACTAGCAGGAGTAATTCAATCCAAGCTCTACTTTGTTAAAGGTGTTCGATATGATTCTAAATCATCATATTAAGCCTACTAGAAGAAATACCCGACCCCCGGGTAGGTATAACTGCTAATTCCTGCGGAAGGCTAATGGCCTGCGGCCTTTTCTGCAATTGTCTGACAGTTCTACAACAATGTACTCCTACTTGACATTCAATAATGTTCACCCTTCATGAAAAAATGAATTTTAGTGGAATTTTAGTTTAGAAATGAGTTATCATTACAGCATTACATCACACAGTAGATTTTATTGAAGTATTTCTTTGTAGACGCAGTTATCAATGACAGTGACTCGGTTTTCTGTTGCAACAATCATGAGATTTTCACTAAAGAAAAACAAATATTTTTTTTATTGTTTTATATTTGAAACTTACTCCTTTTGTTTTTATCGTTTAAATCTGAAACATCATTTTTATGGAAATTTCAATTG